GTGCGTTTGACGTCTCAAAGCCATATGATTTGTGCTACCGCGTCACCGAGATGGAGCACGGCCTTTCTGACCGACCCCTCCACACGGACGTGGTACAGCTCCTGGGGGGTTTCTACACCCCGGCTTTTGAACGCATTCCGCCACCGCCAACGATGAAATCCCAAGTTCTCATCATCGGCGACTCCTCTCTCGCCTTGTGCACGCACAAGGGCGGTCGTGCTATCAACAAGATGACATTCCAGGGTCCACTTCGGGATGTTCTGTCGCATGACCCTCGCGTGACGGAAGTCAACGTCATGATGGAATGGGGCAAGGACCTCACTCTCCTCACCCAGATCGTGGAGGATTTCTTGAGGATCCACCACCCTGACGGGTTGGATATTTTCATCAGTTGGGCGGGGAACGACGTCCATGGCCCGTATGGGTATCAGGGCTACACGGGGCACCTTGTGTCGCCCTGGATTAAACAGACCGAAGAGCAAATCCGCAGAGCGGAGCACTGGCCCGTCAAACAGTTGGCCAAGGTGGAAACCGCACTCCGGAAGGTTGTTGCGTTGGCTGGACATGAGTGTGTCAGGTCGTTGACCGTTGTCGCTGGCACTGTCGCCCAGGCCTACGGGCTGGATTGGGAGTATGACAGGGAGATGAAGAAGCACACCGACTACCTGGTAGCAAACGGCGTTAGGGTCGTCGACCCTTACGCGCTTCTTTATGGCACGGTTCGTTACGACAAGTACCACATGGTTGCCTCGCAAGACAACTTCCAAGCTGCCACGGATTGGTGGCGAGCGCTTGTCTCCACCACCCTGACGGGTCGGCAGATCTTCATGATGCGGGAGGACTTCCTTGCAAATCAGCGAAGCCAGATCTTCAACAATCACTTCCACTTGGCGCAGCCGGAGATGTCCCTTACGGTCCCACCGTGCACCGACATGGTGAGGCCAAGGATTGAGCGGGCGCCTACGTCGAGAGATCAAAGCGAGGAGATCATTGTCGCCCAGAATGTTGTCCGGAAGGCTACAAACCCCTCGGACGAAGACCGCCCGGACATGGGTGCCGTCCCTATCACCGAGGACGACCGGGCTTACCTCAACCCTGACGGGTCTGGCGGCGATGACGACGAGGTGATCCTCTTTGACGCGAACAACCCTCGTGTGAGGAGGTTGTTGGAGGCACTCGACTCGGTCGAAGGCCAGCTCGATGATGAGCAAGCCGTCGAGATTGAGAAGGAGCGCGGCATCGACACCATTGTCATCAATGATCCTGACGATCCGGACATCGCGTGTGAACCGCTCCTCCCCATCAACGAGCCGGATTCCTCCGTGGAAGAGATCTTGCATCAGACCAGAGAGAGGGTTCGCCAGGATAAGACCCTCATCGATCTCAGCGAAGACGTCACCGACCTGGGGAACAAGGTCTTGCCTGCTCCTTCCCGAGCTGCGCCGCCCAAGGCAATGCCTGCGCGTGCACCTCCCGGAAGGGATGGTCCTACCATCGACGAGTCAGCAGCATACTGGTGCGTCGGTAGCGAGATGCCGGTCATTCAGATCAGGCGCTACCTCTCTCCCAATGCCCTTGAGACGTTGAGCCGAAAGATGACATGGCTGCTCCGCGGCTTCTCCAAAAAGTGCGCCCACGCACCCCATCTTGAGTTCGATGGGAATGGAACAACATCTTTCCCGGCATTCTTCGAGGCGTTGGGGCAGATTTGGAATGGGCTCCGTATGGAGCAGATCTTCCAGGTGTGCGAGTCGTCTGAGAAGGAACGCTTCGAGTTTCTCATCCACCCGGGAGGGAGGATTTTGCGATGCCGTGCAATTCAAGGCCACAGCGGGGCGCTCATGACCGAGAACTCTGACCCCATGCTTGTGAATCGCAGATCCTTCCATCTGGTCGACGGGTGGAGACCCAGTCTTCGCGAATACCCTCCTGTTGGAGAGGCTGGCTTCACGCGCAGCACTTTCCATACGATGCCAAAGATGGGATACCACTCCACCTACTTCCGCCACTTCAGGAGCATCGTCGAGAGCGGTATCATCCCAGGAGGAATGTCGCGAGACGGGAGTCGTCGCAGATTTTACGCCATGATGTCACCGAAGCCAGCATGGGAACGTGACTGCATGGAGGGCGTGAGGCCTGATGCCGAGATCGAGTTCGTGATCGACCTCCAAATGGCTGCGTTGGACGGGGTTCGGATCTTTGAGACAGCTGCTGGCGCGGTGCAAACCCCAGATTGGCTGTCCAACCGCTACCTTGTCTACGCCTATCGGAGATCCTCGAATGAGCCGATCTGGATCAACAGGGCGTACGAGCATGCTCGTCTTCGCATCAACAAGGCTGTGAAGGAGTTCACCGCACACAGGAATGTGTTGCCCGTCTTTGACAATGATCCCTATCGTTGCCTTACGGACGGCGCGGCCACCTGCTTCCTGGACTACCTGAAGATTCCCCCAGAGGAAAACTTCACTGAGTGGGCCCCTCTCGCAGCCGATGCCTACACCCCGTTCCAGCTCCACTACGAACCACAGTGGGATTATGGTGGTCAGCCGGTTCGGATCCCGGAAGGGCATCCTCTTCACCCTGCGCTTCACAACGCCTGTTGGGGCATGCGGGCACTTGTGCTGCCCACGCAGACTGCACTTACGGTGGATCGAAAGCTTCGAGGAGACCCAAGGTTCTTCAGGCACCAACAGTGCGTTGCGTTCCCCAACTTCAACTGTCCTTTCTGCGATTGCAACGACTTGATCGACGGGCTCACAAAGTGTCTCAAATGTGAAGAGCGGTTGACCTTGCCCACGGACCTGGCGAAAATGGCGCAGCCCTTTGAGGCCCGCGATGACGCCACCCGGAGGGGTAGGCCGATGAACATCTTTGAGATTCAGCCTTCCATTGGCCTGAACTCCAACCGAGATCATCGGAATCCCCGCCGCGTCGATGACACGACAGTGGACCGTCGCAAGTCCAGCTCAGGAGCGACCTTAAAGGCGAAGATCAACAAGTCGCTCAGCCGTGCCAAGGAGCGCGCAGGAGGTGATATCACCCTCGGCGCGATCCTGGCGGAGTCGCCCATGGATGCCTTCAACTGGATCTCTCAGGGGTTCAGCTTCACGAGCCTCAACCAGATCACGAGGTTCGCCGACATTCGGCTCCCGAACCCTGGGATGGCAGGAGGCAAGTTTGCCGAAGGCACCGACGCCTACCACAACGTCGACGGGCGGCTCGCCTACATTTGGTGCAGCGACGATGATTACGTCAACATCCTGACGGATTGTTTCATCTCTTTCCAGGACCGGTTTTACACCGTGCTCGAGATGGCCGTCATCATGTTCGCCGTGCGCAGGACGACAACCGACCGCTTCTACCTGATGACCAACACCCCAGGTGAACGTTGGTGTCCAAACGGAAGAACTATGGCCGGAATTCTCGGAGAGCTCATCAACCTCATCCGACGTGACCTTCCTCACTCAGCCAAGAGGGGCGAAGTGGCCCCACCGCTGCAGATGACGCAGGATATCCACGTCCCGGAAGGGTTCAGTTCTCTGGGAGACCGTCAGCTGGCACAGCTCCTCCAATTCACCCGTTTCAGGACGCGCAACATCAGGTCCACGATCCAAGATCGGGTTGATCGATTGAGGAGGGACAGGGCATCGTCGGCGCCCAGTGATCGCACGCCACCATGGGTGCAACAGCCGCAATCCTCCAGAGGAAGGTCCAACACTCCCGGCACCCGGGAGGGTCGCCCCGCAGAGAGCAGGTCGAGGGACAGGCAGTCACCGTGGAAGTTACCCCCGGCTGACGCAACGCCTCCTCCTCCGAAGGCACCACTGCAGGTCAAGGCGCCCCCCGTGATGCAGTTGACATCGAAGAGGCCACCTCCGCCGGCACCATTGACAAGGTCATCGTCACCTGCTGCCAGACCGCCAAGCACTGCTGTCAAGTCCAAGCCGCGACCTCCTCAGCTCCCGAGTTCCTACATCTCGGACGCGGACTGGGACGCGATGGCAAACAACCGGCCATTCGCCGAGGAACGCCCTGCCGCAAGGCAAAGGGTCGTGTCCCCTGGACAGTCTCGCCACGCGGAAGCGGCGGCCCCACCGGGCTTGTCCCGCCCCGCGGAAGCGGCGGCCCCTGCGCCGATCGACACTGAGGCTGCTCCACGACCGATGGTGGTCGAGCCTGCCACTCCTCCGACGAGAGAGCAGGTCGCCATGAATCGTGGCATGCAGATCATTTACGAGACTCTTGGCCGAGTCGTCTCGTGGGGCCAAGTGATCGGTGGAACCGACATTGATCACGCCCGAGACCGGGACGTCAATTGGCCCACATGGGTTGGATATATGTGGGCGGTCATGAGAGCCCTGGACATCCCGGGCATGTCGGTGGATAATGCTCTCTACGCGATCCCCGTTCATGGCACCGTGGACACATTCCAGATCATGGGCCCCGACCACGTGAAGTCCTACCTTCGTGGCTGGCACAACTGGCGATGGGACTATGCCACCGATGCTTGGAAGCGCGATTACTAGTTTCCTTCCTTTTGCATCACACCGGCCTGACGGCTTGGTTTTCGCCGCTCTGACGGGCTGGCTACCTTTTCCACTTTAGTCAGCATTTCTTTCAGGGCCGCGGAGCTAAGCTCTGTGGGGCAAGCACCAACACCCTGCCGGGTCGTTTGGCAGCGAGTTGTTGGTCAAGGGTGTCAAGATCATTTGTTTGAATCAAAGTAGCGTCGCAAACAGCTGATGTGTCGCCTCTCCGTTGCTCTAAGATGCGCGGGGGGTGTCGATACTTCAAGATATCAGCTGTGTTACCGTACTTACGCTACTTCATTGGCTCAAGACAAAAAGTGCGTTGCACTGTACTTGTTGAGTTTAGGGTTTCCGCTGGTAACAATAGTTTCAAGTGGCCCAAGGTGCTCCGCAAGTGTTCCCAACCGACCCAAGTGAACACGTTTTTTGTGTCGCAAAGCGAGCTTGTTAACCCTAACCCGATGCCGGAAGGTTCTGCGCAAAGAGGTGGAGGCCGGAACCCCATGTTGATGCAGCGCCCCACCGCATGTGGGGGGTCTTAGGGCAACTTCTGGGTTTGGGGCAAACCCGAAAAACCTAAATGCTAGCCTGAACCCCAAACGGGTTTCTGGGCTCAGGGTCTGAAGTCTTAAGCCTTAAAACCCAAATCCCAGAACACAGCCGGAGATCCTTGCTTGTGGAGGCCGAAAGCCGCCAGCAGGAGGAGTGCGCTTGTAGAGCGGCGCAGGAGGCGAGGGCGCTGGCTCAGCCTTTGGGGTTCGTGGCTTCGGGTTGGGATGTTCCCCCAATACTAACAGTCCTTAACAGGGATGATAGTACCCCTACTATACTCCCTATTAAGGACTGCTAGTATGAGGGTAGCAAGCTCCTTGCTCTGGACTTGAAGCCGTTCACAGATTTGCGTTCTGCGCTATTCAAGATTGTGTAAACCCTTAACGCAAAGCCTCAAGCCCTAACCCCAAGCTCCCTAAACCCGGAACCCTAACCCCCAAGCCCTAAGCCCTAAGCCCTAAGCCCTAAGCCCTAAACCCTAAACCCTAAACCCTAAACCCTAAACCCTAAACCCTAAACCCTAAACCTCCGCAGCTTTCGCGCAGCTCCTGGAGGCCGAGGTCCTGGCACAAGACCAGGCCAGCGCCCACTTGGCTGCCGAGAGCCGGGCCCGTCTGGGTCTCAGGCGACAGGGCATCGGATTTCGGAACCTAGGCGGGTCTAGGGTTTAGGGTTTAGGGTTTAGGGTTTAGGGCGGGTGATTCGGTTGTTTCGGATTTAGGGCTTAAGGTTTCGGGGTTTAGGGCTTCGGGTGTTTCGGATTGAGGCTTTAGGACGCTCAAGGCCGGCTTTCAGAGTGGCTCAGGTGCCGTGCAGCTGCAGGAGGAGGGCGAGGCTTGGCCCCAGAGCCGGCCATGACAGCCCTTAGGCCTTGGAGCCTGCGATCCCGAAACCCTGCACCCCAAACTCGAAGACACCTTAAAACCCCAAAACCCTTCACACCCTAAACTCTATAAACTCTAACCTCTCAACACGCCCTAGACTCCCTAAGCCCTCGAAGCCCTGACCAGGCTGTAAATCGGCAGAAGGCCCGAGACCAAGCCCAGCGAAGTGCCAAGGCGCTGTGTCCTGCTTGCTCTCGGGGAGCCATAGTCTATGGGGGACCCCACAAGAGGGATTTAGGGTTTTGGGGCTTATTTGGGTATGTAGTCTAAAACAGACCCCACCCCAAGGAGCAAAGTTCATCTTCAGTCCACATGGCCAGGAGAAGCAGCAGGACAAGAGGATGGTGCAAGCGGCCGTCTTCAAGGTACAGCAGGAGGACACTGGTGGCGATTCCTGCAAAGCCTCCCTAAACCCTAAACCTTAAACCCCCCTAAATCCTAAACCCTAGACAACCATAAACCCCTAAACCCTATCAAGCCCGAAGCCCAAAAAACCCTGAATTTGATCCGTCGTTTAATCTGGGCCTCGGTATGCCTCGGTTGTGTGAAGGACGCCCAGGCGGAGACGCGAAGGCAGCCGGTCTCGTGCAGCTAGCCCCTAAACCCTAAATCCTAAACCCCAAACCCTAAACCCTATAAACCCTAAAACATGGCGCCCTGACAAGGAGTGTCCATTGTAGTTAAAACCTTAGGTGTGCGAGAAGCTCTCTTTCTCCCCCCGCAACATCTTTGGCGAATCTGACAATGGTGCAGGCGCAGGCTGCAGGCTGCGGCGCACGCGGCCTTGGACAGGCTGGTGGGTATGAGGTTTCCCGAAACCCTGAACCCAAAACAGCCCAAACCTAGGGGGTTCATGGGTACTGGTATGAGGTTTCTCTAAGCCCTGAACTCCAGGGAGCCTAAACCTAAGGGGGGGGACGTGCTGGCTCTTTCAGCATGTGTACGCGGCAGGCTCATGGTGGAGCAGCGCCAGCTACGCGAGCAGGAGGCCCCTTCCATGCCCCATGTGCCATGACATGCTGGAAAATCTGCCGTAAGATCTACTGGAACATACCACAGCATACTATGACGTACCGTAAGATACTGCAACCTGCAACTCTGCATGATGGTGATGCTCCGAAGACCTCATCCTCCGATCGCCACCCTGAGGCCCAAAAACCCGGGGTGCTCTGCAGCCTTTTGGAAGAACATGTCCTGCTGCACAGGTGCGCGAGGAAGAGGTTGGCCGCCCCTGCACTGAATACCGCCAACATTGATATCTGCAGTGCTTGTCGCGGAGTTGGAGCTGATGCTGCATGTGGTGGCTTGCAGGCTGCTGCCCTGCGTGCGCAGAAGCAGCGGAGCCACTTTGATGCAGATGTGGGGCTCATCCGCGGTGCTTCCCATGAGTCAGCTGCGTTTGCCGAGACAAGTCACGTCACATGAAGGACTGCGTGCGCGCGCGCGCGAGCCTTGCGAGCCTTACAAGCAAACCGTCAAGTCAGGTGCGCAGGCATCCTTTTGGGCCGCGAGGGCCAAGGCCCTGTCTCGAAAGCGTTGAGTGTGCATAGTAGTCCCAGCAAATCCCATCTCCAGCCTTCGCTCCAGCCTCCTTCATATCCCAATCTTCACTCCGAACCTTCACGCCAGCCTCCTTCACTCCCAACCTTCACTCCGAGCCTTGGGCTCTGCCTTTACCCTCCCCCTCGCGTACAGTGCCCTGGGCCAGGAGCGCCGCGCGGCGGAGCACGCGCGGGCGCAGGCCGAGGGTCGTGGTAGAATGGCGGGGCACGAGGGGGGGAAGCTGGGTGAGGGGCTGGGTTCCTCGTTTTGTCAGCCTTTCGGTGGCTCTTCACTGGTGTGAGCTTCTCATGCTTACCCTAAACCCTAAACCCTGGACCCTAAGCCCTTAACCCTAAACCCTGAACCCCAAACCCTAAACCCTAAACCCTAAACCCTGTATCGCCTCCTTGTGAAGCGCGAGGTCTTGCGGCGCGTGGCGGCCTTGCTGGCCCAGCAGCAGGAGGACGAAGAGCGTCTTCAAATGCCTGGGGCTCGGGCGGAGGGTTCGAAGCCGAGACTCCCCCAAGCCCAAAACCCTGACATCTTTCCCAAAAACCCGATGAACAAACCAAATATATTTTTGAAGCACGATCAATGGATATTAATGGTCCTTTTTTCTTTGAGACCCTAAGAACCCTAACGTCCCTTGGACCCTTGGAGGCTGCATGGCCTTCTACAGGAAGAAGAGGCAGCCGCGGCCCAGCGCCGGGAGGAGGACGCAGTTTATCTCTGGTTTAGGGTTTAGGGTTTAGGGTCTAGGGTTTAGGGTTTAGGGTTTAGGGTTTAGGGTTAGGGTGTTAGGGCTTTAGGTTTTGTTTTGGCTCAGGTTTGTTTTTGGGGTTTCGGGGTTTTCGTGTTGAGGGCGTCGGGAGTTTTCGGGTTTGGGGTTTAAGGTTTCGGGTTTAGGGTTTAGGGTAGGGTTCGGGGTGCGGGGATTCTGGTTTGGGGCTTAGGGCCACTGCGCTAACACACTAGACCCTAAAAACCCTGGACCTCTAAACCATAAAATGCTCAACCAAGACCCTGAAACAATTGATAGAGCCAAAAAACCCCAAAGCCCGAAGACCCCAAACCCCCCAGCTCGGAGGAGCAGGCGCTCGAGCGGCGCCTCCAGGCCCCCCCCGCACACGACCTTGCTGTGCCCGTGCGGTGGTTTTAGGGTTTTAGGGTTTTAGGGTTTTAGGGTTTGAGGGTTTTAGGGTTCGGCTGCAGCCCTCAGGCCCGCGCCAAAGCTGCGCAGGCCGCGGAGGCCTCCGGGGTTTAGGGTTTAGGGTTTAGGGTTCTGGGGGCTTGTGGACACCTAAAGCCCTCTAAACGCTCTAAAATCCCACAAGCCCTTGGAGCCCTGAGGATGCCATGCCTTGCGGCGATTTTGCGAAGCCCCCTTCATTCGCAGGAAGGGCTTCGAAATCTCCGTGAGAGGCGTCTGAAGGAGGAGGCCGCAGTCCCAAGATTCTGTGGGGGGCAGTCCTCTCAAGTGTGCTCCTTTGTGCGCTTTTTGCGGGATCTCAGGTTTAGGGCCTAGGGCCAGCATCACAGCAGGAACCTATTTTGTAACGCCCTTTTGACCGGGTGACTCTTTGGGGCAGTGGAACCCGGGGCAGGAAGAGGAAGCCGCCTGGCGCGCTCGCTTCGTGGAGACCTGTGCCGCAGAGGCTGGGCACTTGGGAGGTGCAGGAGCCCCCCCCCCCCCAGCAATCCCAGCAATCCCAGCAGAGGTCCCAGCTAAGATATACCCACCCCTGTCTTGAAGCCCATGGAGATGGAACATGAGAACGCCCATGGAGGGGTTGATCCAATCAAGCCTTTGGGCCTCAAGAATCTTCAATGACCGTGACCGTATTGCTATTATGGAATTAGGTACCAAAAACCATACCGAATAGGGTTTTGGGGTACCTAAATCCACAATAGTATTACAAATGGACCCTCTGGGTTAGTTTCGTGGGGTACCCAGAAGGGCCCGAACAACGCTGCTCGGGGAGAGTGTGGTGCAAGGCAAAGCTGGAGCAGCTGAGTGACCAGAAGCCGGCTGCCTCGGGGTTCACAGGGTTCACAGGGTTCACAGGGTTCACCGGGTTTTCAGGGATTTAGGGTTTAGGGTTTTTTAGGTGTTATGGGGTTTATGGGGTTTACGGGGATTGTGGGGTCTAAAGCAATTAAGGGAGTTTTTACCGTCCCAAAAAGGGGCCATACTTGGATTTACGGAATTGCCCTCATGTTCAAGCAGCTCCCAACCTCTTTCCCAAGGAGGCGCATGCGTCTGCTGGCCTTCAAGCGGGAGGCCCGATCCAGGAGGCAGCTAAACCCTACAAAGCCCTAAGTAGCGCATGCGGAATGTGGGCGGTTGGGCAGAAGCACCTTAAACCCAAAGCCCCGAGCTCGAAGCCCCTAAAGCCTGAAGCGTCTAGGCCGAAGAGCTGGCCGCCCAGCGCCGTGAGGTGCAGGAGGCTGTCTGGGTGCCAGAAAGGGTCCGAGGGTCCAAGGGTTCAGGGAGAAGTCCCAAAACAAACTGATGACTTCTGGAATCGGGTCTTTTGCCCCCCGAGCATGGGACTCATGTGATAGGGGCCCTTGTGGTGGGTTGTTGGGGTGCGGTTGGGGAGCTTTGGGGCACGGTTGACTGCAGCCTTTCTTTCCCCTCCCTCCTTTACCTCCGGGTGTGTTTCGGCTCTTTGTTTAAAGCGTCAGTCCGGAAGACTGTGTCGACGACGTAAGGGAAGTGTTGGCAGAATGGCGGCGGGGTCGACGGTGAATGCCCGCTCCCCTGCCTCCTGGCACATCCTCAAAGAAAGCAAACGCGATACATTCTTGGTGGTTGACATTATGCCGGCGAACTTGCGCACTACCGGGAGCAGCGGCACACCGCGCTTCGGGCGCGTGAGCTGCCTGGATGCGGAGGCGTTTGCGCAGCTCTGCGCGAGGCTGGACCCGATACAAGGCAGTCCTGGCGAACTCAGTGAGGGCCTCCCGGTTTGCAGAGCACCTGCCATGAAGGAGCACCCGCCTACTGGGCGTGAATGGGCACGGACATCACGGACCTGCTGGGACGATGACGACGAGGATTTCAGTCGTGCGGGTGCCTCGGATGCATTAGGTGATGTTTTGAAAGGCTACAGAACAGAGTTTTGCAAACCTGCGACCCTGCACGTACCTTGACTGCGGGCGAACGGTCGGCAGGTGTGCTCCCCGAAGTGCGCGTTGAGAGGCAGAAGACCTGGCGAGGGAAGGCCAGCCGACAGCGAGCGCTGTTTTGAGTTCTCGTGTAGATGCTAGGGGACATGCTCGCCATAAACACAACCTGCGTAAACTTGGCCTTGCCAGGTCACGCGCATGGTGACGGCCGTGGCAAGCCTTGTGACCTTCAGCAGCCGAGCCAGGTGAGCAAGAAGAGGATCGGAGGATGAAGCCGCATCCGAAGTCGAGTGGACGCACTCATGTTGATTTCTAGCTGATCTGGCTGAGAGTGACCATGTGGGGGTTTAAGAAAGGCCCCCTCGAAAATCGACCCCAAATAGTAGGATTTCCCTTAGAATATGGACCCCGATAAGGTGCCCCTAATCTCGGAAACCCCCATATACACCACAGCAAACTACAGAAATCTACCGTAGATGTAGATCTTTCGTGTGCACGGAGTGCGAAGCCCGAGCAGGGCCGAGCACAGGTGTACAGACTTCAGCGATCCTTGGATTGCCCAGTGATTCTTTTCGTTTTCTAATCATGCTGGTGCCGTTTTTCCTCGGGACGCAGTCGGTTCCGATTTAGCAGACGGCACACTCCCACAATTGCAAAACTGCAAGATCATAAGGATCCTACTAGTACCGCTCGCAGCTTGTGTAGCAGGTTAGGTTCGCTGACGATGGTGGGTTGCGAAATCCCCCGCCACCTGAACAGCTTGAAAGTGGAGAGCCAAGAGAAAAGCCGCTGTGGCCCCCCACCCTCAACCCTTCACCGCCTAAACCCTTAAACCCTAAACCCTCCACCCCAAACCCCTAAATCCCCAAACCCCCCACAGCCCTAAACCCTAGACCCTGAACCCCTCCGAGTTCCGCCTTGAGAGCTCTAAACACCAAGTTAGCCGGAACCTTAAACCCTAACACCCCAAACCCTATCCCCGAAAGTGGCGCTTAAACCCTCAACCCTAAACCCCAAACCCGAAACCCTAGACCCGAAACCCGAAACTCTTCGACCCCACCCCACAGGCGGAGGTGGAGAGGGAGGAAGCTGAGTGGCACCTCCAGCGTCTCGAGGACCTGTTTTTTCTGCGTTTTTTGGCGGAGAATTGCTGCATCTGAGCCATGTCAACTGGCCTCACTGGCGCTCTGCCGCTATACTTATACAGACTTATGCAGCTTCTGCTTAAAAAGCTACAAAAAGGTTGCACACGCCACCCGGACTGCGGGGCGCGCCTCGGAGTTTGCAGTCTGCCCGGTCGGGCTGCAGATAAAGAAAGCGACCCCGGGTCGGGGAAGAAGTTGACCTGCGAAGCTGAAACCGTGAACCCGCAGTGGAAGAGGCTTTGTTTGCCTGGAGCAGTAAAGGCTTGCAATGTCAGTTGTTTGTGCTCCATCTCAATGCCAGGGCGTCCCCCAAGCGGATTCGGCAGCTTACAGATTGGAGAGGTCCGAGGCGAATCCAGAAAATGAAGCACTCGAAGGAGCCTAAGCCTTACGCCCCAATATCTGCAATCCCTAAACCCTGAGGAGGAGGACAAGTCCCGCATCCTGGAAGAAGAGAGGCCTTGGGTTTTTGGACCCTGCCCGGTTTGCAGGTTCCATGTGTCTGTAGGAGCCGAACAAAAGAGTAGCGAGAATCACGAGAGTCAGGATCATATGATGATCGCTGTTAAGTAGTATTGCTAGTACTGCGCCTACACCTACTACGACGACTACTACCTCCTACTACCGCTGCTGCTGCTGCTCCTCCTACTACTACTACTACTACTACTGCTACTACTACTGCTACTGCTACTGCTACTGCTACTGCTACTGCTACTGCTACTGCTACTGCTACCACTACTACTTCTGCTACTGCTACTGCTACTACAACAACAACAACAACTACTACTACTACTACTACTACTACTACTACTACTACTACTACTTCTACTTCTACTTCTACTTCTACACTTCTACTTCTACTTCTACTTCTACTTCTACTTCTACTACTACTGCTATTGCTACTGCTACTGCTACTGCTACTACTACTACTACTACTACTACTACTACTACTACTACTACTACTACTACTACTACTACTACTACTACTACTACTACTACTACTACTACTACTACTACTACTACTACTACTACTACTACTACTACTACTACTACTACTACTACTACTACTACTACTACTACTACTACTACTACTACTACTACTACTACTACTACTACTACTACTACTACTACTACTACTACTACTACTACTACTACTTCTACTTCTATTTCGATTTCTACTACTTCCTGCGTGCAGCGAGGGGGAAGCTCGTTCTCAGAACAAGTTTTTTTTTGACATGCCTTTTTGGAACATGCAACGTCGGATATGCATTTTTGGACATGCATCTTTGGAACATGCATTGTTGGACATGCGCGTTTTTGGACATGCAGTTTCGGAACGTACATCTTTGGACATGTATTTTGGGGAAATTGCGCTGTTGGACATGCATTTTTGGATATGCATTTTTGGGGGGTGGATATGCTTTTTTCTTTTTTTAGTTCGGAAATGAGCCTCGTCATACTACGACACATCATCATGGCAGTGGTCTGTGCTTTCATGTTCCAGGCGGCGGCTCTTGGAGCTACATGCCCGTGGCGGGTGCCAGCACTTGGGGGAAAGGGTCATGGGACTTATAGTTCCAGGGTTAGATGGGTTCTGGGGTGGTAAGGTTGTAGGCTTGTAGGCTCTGTTGCAGGGTTGCAGGGTTTGAAATTTGTAGGGTCATAGGGTCGTATCCTCTCAAGTAGTAATCCGAATCATTTGGCCATGCGCAAGTGGAGTAGGGATGTCGGGTTTAAGCCTTTGTTTCGCGTGGACTCCGAGCCTGCTCAGAGCACAATGGGCCACGCCACACAGCACAGGTCTCTTGCATATCATTGGGCTCGTGCTGCCAGACTCGGTCGCGATGGTCCAGCCTTGTGATATCTTGCGATGAGGTTGCTGGCGCGCGCTTGGTTCAGTGGGGCTGCAGGCTCCTCAGAGATGGCATGTCGTCGAGAGAGTGCATATTCGACTACGTTAGGCTGTTGTGTCGTGTCTGCTCGGCGGCAGCCCTTGCATCTCCGAAGGTGTTTCGGCTCTAGTGAAGCTGGAACTCCTCGACGATCGTCGAGGGCAGTGTCGGCAGAATGGCAGGGTCGACGGTGAACCCCCACTCCCTGGTGCTGCAAGCCCTGGAAGAGGCAGTGCGAGAGAAGCGCCCGACTCGCACTCCAAAGTTCAATCCGCCACGCTTCGGCCGCGTGCACTGCCTGGATGCGGAGGCGTTCGCTCAGCTGTGCGCTCGGCTGGACCCGATCCCAGAGCTGTCTGGCGATTCCAGCGAGGGACTCCCCGTTTGCAGAGCACCGGCAATGAAAAAGTGCTCGTCCGCTGGGCGGGGTCCGTTACGAATCTGCTGGGAGGATGACAGCGAGGATGAGGGTTGTGCTGGCGCCTCGGATGCATTGCACCTAGTCATGTTGCGACTCTGCACGTACCTTGCCTTGCGTGGGCTGAAACGGTCGGCAGGAGTACTCCCCGAAGTGCACGTTGAGAAGCAGAAGACCTGGCGAGGGAAGGCCAGCCGACAGCGAGAGCTCTGAATCACACTTGATTCGTTTCTAGATGCCAGAGGACATGCGCGCATGAAAGCAACCTTACGAAACTTGGTCTTGCCAGGTCACGCACATGGTCACGGCCGTGGCAAGCCTCGTGACGTGCAGCCAGTCGAGCCCGGCCAGCAGGAGGACCGCCGTTCGAAGGGAACGGGTTCATTCTGGAACGTGGGAAACGGCTTCACGCTCAGCAGCCCTGGCTTTTGCAAGGCGGCCAAAGGAGCCGGTGGTTTCTCTGGAGTTGCTTTTTTTTTTTAAGGTGGCGGCGATGAACAGCCGGAGCCTCTGCTCTTCTGGCCTCAAAGCCTTGCACTGCCCCCGAAGCCCTGAAGCCCTGAAGCCCATGACCCCGGAACCTGGGCCGGCCCTTCGGGAGTACGCATCATCATGCCTGAACTCCTGGCGGGGAACGAGTCCTGTCTGGCCAACCTAGAATGTCGGCACCGGGTGCAATCGGCTGCTCGCATGCGTCCTTTGTGTCTACAATCTCAAGGTCCTTCGGCATTTAATAGGGAAACCTCTATTCCTTCTAGATGTTGATAGGACAATTTCTATTTCCTGTGCATTTTCACAGGGGGCCTTCGTTTCCTTTGGGTTTAAGAAGGGCACCTCTATTTCCTCTATATTTTCACGATTTCCTGTTTCTTCTATATGTTGAAGAAACCTTCGTTTCCTTTATCGTGGAATTGGCAAGCTGTTCTTTCTAGATATTTTAAAAATACAGCCTCCCTTTATGTGCACTTACATGGACAAATTCCTTCTTCCCTGATATGAAGTCGGAACGTTTTTCTTCTTCTGTGCGGGCATCCCCCCTTTAAATATCAAAGCCTCCGTTTCCTCTATATGTGATTAGGAAGTCGTTTTGTCTGTTACACACAGGAAAACCTCTGTGATCTCTGTATTCCAATAGGAAATCCTCTGTGTATTTTGATAGGAGGGCGTGCTACCCAAAACATGTGAATTTGGGATGCAGGACAGTTGAAAGGCTCATTTGGAATGCGCAAACATGGTACAATTACGACTTTCTAAGCCTGAACAACTACAAAGGTTTCAATTCGGAACGCCCGCACGCTTAACACGTGCCAAAAAACCTAGGCGCGGCGCTTGCTACTGTGGTTCTGAATTGACTTAGTCTGAAGTCTACTTGTTCCAAGAATGAGTACAGAACCCTTTTCTGTGCTCCAAAATGAGTCTAGTCTTTTCTGTGTTCCAAATTGAGCCCTTTTCCCTTTTCGAAGCTGAGATTCGGAGGATGAACCCGCGAAGTGTAATGACATCGGCAGGAGCTCAGCGGGCTCCGTGGCGCAATCGTGCCGACTTTCGAGCTGATGTGGCCAAGAGTGACCATGCAACTAATCCGGCAGGAGCCGACAGCAATCTATTGTGCGCGGGGTGCCATAGTGTGCAGCAGAAGTGCAGCACACTTTGAATCAGCCGAGTGCACTTTTTCTTGGATTGCTCGATCATTCTTCTTGCTTTATGACTTCTTTATGATCCTTGTGATGCCGGTTTTCCTGGCTTGAGTGCTCTAGAGGCGCCAGCATTGCCAACTTCCGGCTCTTTGACGGTACAGTCCCTGAAGCGCAAAACTGGAAGGGTCAGGTTCGATGCAACAGCTTGCAGCTTGGCTGTCTTCTGGTTGGCTCTTAGGACTTTAACTTTTTGGGTTTCCTTATAGCTACAATAAAGGGGCTAAAAGTTTAACTTTTAGGAGGGGTTCAGAAGTCTGCCAAGGCAGTGCAACCCACCCTACAACCTACTTCCTCTCAACCCCCGGGTTCGGCCTGGTGCACTTACAAAAAGTGAAAAAAGTTGAGAAGGCCAGTGCCTTGCTTCCAATGACGTGCCGTTTTTCGCGCTGGCGGAGCCCGGAGCGTAGCTCCGACTCCGGTGTAAGGGCCAGTAAGGGCCAGTGCTACCAATCGTAGCTTTCATGGCACACGCCTTATGCTATGAGGTGTGTGTGTGTGATTCATCGCGATGGTCGGTCGGTCGGTCGCAGTCGGTCGGTCGGTGTCGGTGTGTGTCGGTGTGTGTCGGTGTGTGTCGGTGTGTGTCGGTGTGTGTCGGTGTGTGTGTGTGTGTGTGTGTGTGTGTGTGTGTGTGTGTGTGTGTGGTCGGTCGGTCGGTCGGTCGCGTAGTCGCGGGACTGTGGGCAGCATTCCAGACGAAAAGAAGCCCTTGCCGCCGGGTTCCAGATGAGCTTTGAGTGGGCCGTATACTCCGACAGGGGCTGTAAGTATCGTGTCTGTAGGGTTCGGTTGGTCCCCCAAGGAGCAGCGCATGTCCTGCTTGTGCTCTAGAAGCATGCCTAAGCCTAAACCTAGAAAGGCCGCCCTTAGTGTGGCTTGCTGCGCTCAGGTTTTGCCAAGGCACCTCCAAGACACTGACTGAGGGGCGCCGCCCGAAACCTTACAACCCCCAAAACCCCGAAACCCCCAAACCCCCAAGTCTTCAAACCCAAAACCCCCAAGCCCTAAACCCTAAAGTGAACCCTAACCCCTAAGAACCCTAAACCTCAAACACCCCAAATTCTACAGCCTTACGGGGCTCCTCTTGTACAGTTTATTTGGGAAGCCATCGAGGGCGATGCATCCGATGGGTGCGGCCCCAGTCTGCAGTTTCGGGAGCCGCGCCTCCTTGGGGGAACCTCAGCCTTTCCGGACGGAAGCAAAATCAGACTTGGTAGCCCAGTGGTGCCCTTTCCCCTTTTTTTGGGGATTCAAGGCTCCCTTGGAAAGTAACAAATCCAAAAAAAGGGTACCCTGGGCTACCAAGAAGAGTGGCCACCGAGTCCTGCCCTGTGGGTACCATCATCGTGACTGCCCGAAATACCTCCGGTTGATAAGAACAGGCTGCGTCTCAAACACGTGTCAGAACTCTCAGCCGGGCGCCACTTTGACTGGCAACTTGGCAGAAGGTCAGACCTGCAGCTTCGCAAATCGGACCTCCCAACACGATTCCTCGCCCGGCTTAGAATGCAGTGCCAAGCCTGAGCAATGTTGGACTTGTGATCGATTAGAACCCGCCAGGCGCTTGGTTTGCCAAAGCTCTGACTGTCTCTCTCACATCGCGTGGCCTTTTTTCCTTCGCTGTCCATGAACCCGGTGGCGAGGTTGCTGGCAAATGGGGGCCGTGGGGTCCCCAGAAGTGCTGGTCACGAACGATGCAAAGGACTGCGTACCAACATGGTTTCGATGTTTTCATGCATGCTCCGGAGACGCCTCCGCAGATGTTTCGGCTCTTGTAGCGTCGCAGACGTACCAGTCGCGAAGTAGCCGGCAGCAGAATGGCAGGGTGGACGGTGAATCCCCGCTCCTCTGCCTCCAAGCGCGACAAGCTCATGCTGACCGACGTGATGCCGGCGAACTTGCGCACGACCACGAGGGGCAGCGCCGCGCCGCGCTTCGGGCGCGTGAACTGCCTGGATGCGGAGGCGTTTGCGCAGCTCTGCGCGAGGCTGGACCCCATGCCAGGCAATCCTGGCGAGCTCAGCGAGGGCCTCCCGGTTTGCAGAGCACCCGCCATGAAGGAGCCGCCACCCATGGAGTGCAAACGGGCACGGACCTCACGGACCTGCTGGGACGATGACGAGGATTTGGCTCCTGCTGGTGCCTCGGACTGAAACTGCGTTGACGTGCAGCAATGACGTGTTAGACGGTTTTTGACAGCTGCGACCCCTTGCAGGAGTCCTGCCCGAAGTGTGCGTGGAGAAGCCGAAGACCTGGCGAATGAAGGCCAGCCGATGCCAGCCGCCAGCGAGCACTTTGAGTGCGGGTGTGATTTGGTCAGGGTCCGGTTGGGAACCTGAGAATACGAAGAAAAAGCCCCAGCCGTGGCTTGAATTGTGCGAACAGCAAAGCTGGATCACGTAGGCATCTTGTGTGTTGAGCACTAAGCCCTGAACCCCAAAGCCGCAAGTGCCGCAAGTGTCATAAGCCTGAGCCCTAACCGTACGTCGGCGCGAAACTGCAGCAAAACAAGGGGCATCGTTTAATGTGTTGTAGTTGGGTTGCGATCCTTCGGCGATGTCCCCCTATACTCGTAGCTCTTTACCCCCTCTCTGTAGCCAGTTCTCTTGCCAGGCCACTCGTATGGTCACGGCCATGGCAAGTCTTGCGACGTCCATGAGCCGGGTGAGCACGAAGTGGAGCGAGCCGTGTGATGCTGAGATTCGGAGCACGACGCCAAAGCCGAAGGGTGGCGCAAGCAGAGGCCCAGCGGCCGCATTCATGCAGTCTCCGAGCTGATGCGGACAGGCTACTTCCGCTGAGAAGCCTTTAGCACACGCATGCACATTCACAAGGGCAACCAATATCTTTTCACGCGCCCAGATCCTGTGCTCAGGCCCAGGCTTCTATCAATCCGTCTGCCTGCCCAGAAGTTTGGGTGGATGCCTGTAGATCAATTTACTTTGGGAGACTGTATAAAATGCTCTGTAGCAGCCGCTCTTCTTCCCCTTGGGGCAACCTGCTGTGTGCTTCAAATGACGCACGACGTCACTCCGCAAGATAAGTTCTCCAAAGCAGCAGGGGGTTAGAGGGTCTAGAGTCCAGTCGCCGCAAGCCGCTTTCTCCTCTTTCCGGAGTGCTCTCGCAGACGTTGTCGACGTTCCTGCCCCTTCCGTGGCTGCCTTCCACTCAATATGTCGGTGCTTGCCGTAGAGCCCGCTTTGCATCAAAGAAATGTTGCTTCACACGAAGCGACAGAGGCTTTCAATACCTAAAATAGCGAACTCCTGACATGCCGATCGGAGTTTTGCTCGGACGCCACTTGATGTGCTCTCATGCTGTACCAGCCATGACAGCAGAAACCACAAACTTACCAAGCCCTGAACCCAACATCCAAAACGCCCTCAAGCACATCTGCAGTGGTACCGGCCGGTCACATGTGTGTGAGCAACTTGTCGAAAGAACGACGTGGCCTGCTCCATCGATTGGAGTCCTGGCTCAACATTGTTGACGCTTTTCCCTCATGCTGGACGATTTGGCAGCACAACATGCCGTCTTGAGGCTGAAGTTCTACTTAGCGACTACCTGCTCACACAGGAGCAGCATCTTGCCATGCAGCCCTCATCTGCTTGCTTCCTGGATGAAACTGCGGGGGAGTCGCCGCGCGTTGTACTCTTTATCAGTACTTGCCACCCGTTTAACATGGGGGTTTAGGGCAGTTTAGGGTTTAAGGATTTTTAGGGATGTTTAGGGCTTAGGCACTGGGACGGCAACGGTTGAGGAGGGCTCATGGGCAGTTGGATGCTACTCCCAGGGTTCAGCCCCAGAGTTTCATCTCCATCAAGTGCCTCGCAAGCACGAGACCTGCAACCCGTTCCCAATCCCCAGAACATCTGAAGCTCAGTCCTCAGGGTTTCTCATCCAACATACTCCACATATCTCCACATTCAGTGTGATTAGGTGTGTGATTCCAGATCCGTCCTTATGAGATCCCGTCTGCCTGCAACTTGTGAGACAGGTGGCAAGACACACTGCATGGTAGAAATCTAGGGGTTTCATAATCTGGAATCAAAGTGCAGTGTGAGACTCTATCCCAGCCAGATGTGTACATTCAAGTGTGCCGCGCCTTGCTCACAAGAGGTTGTTCTGTGACTTGCAACATTTCCTGCGCCAGCCGCTGTTCTTCCCCTTGGGGCAACCTGCTGTGTGCTTCAAACGAAGTGCAACGTCACTCAGCAAGATGAGAGTTCTCCAAAGCTAAAGAGGCTCTGAGGTTCTAGTCACAGCAGACCGCTTTCAGCTCTCAATTCTTGCTGTCTTGACTCTTGAATGCGGCCACTGATGCTGGTCGACGTTCTGGCCCCTTCTGCGGCCCGCCTTTCAATCGGTCGATGCCGACACGGCACGATCTTCTCCACTCTGCAAATAGGCGGAGGCCACTAAGGCCGGGTCTCCAGCCTAAAGAAATCGCCGTGCTCTGGACGGCGAAAGTATGCGACGATAAAAGGGCTGGGGTTGGGGCACTTGTGCAGATTTGTGCAGCTCCTGGTCAAAATCGAGTATTATAGCATATTATAGTTGAGTTATATATCTATATGTGGTTTTCCTGGGCCAGGTGCCTCTGGGACCCTCCGCGGCAGCCGAGGGCGAGTTGAGGGAAGTCTGAGCGGATAGGGTTTGGGGTTTAGGGTTTAGGAGGTTTAGGGTTTAGGGGTTTAGGGTTTTTTGAAGATGGGGAGCTGTTTCACCAGATTTTGTAGCTCGCGTGCCATGAGCGTACCCCAGGCGTGCTTCAGAGAGGAAAGTGCGGGCCTGGGAGACACCGAGCTGCGACTACGAGATATGCTACATGCGCAGGGCAGACATGTCTGGACTCGTGCCTAGGACCACAAGCGAGGGTCTCTCGTCTCGCCTGAAGAAAAGAGCGGTGTACTGCCATGACACGCGTCGTCTCGGTGGGCATCTGCCGTGAAAGTCGCCTGGAGATGGGCATAGACTGGCTCGCAGACCCAGGGTCAACAGTGAAGGTCAGGGTGCAACAGACCTACAGCTCCGCAAATCGGACCTCCCAACACGATTCCTCGCCCAGCTCAGAATGCAGTGCCAAGCCTGAGCAATGTTGGACTTGTGATCGACTGGAACCCGCCAGGCGCTTGGTTTGCCAAAGCTCTGACTGTCTCTCTCACATCGCGTGGCCTTTTTCCTTCGCTGTCCATGAACCCGGTGGCGAGGTTGCTGGCAAATGGGGGCCGTGGGGTCCCCAGAAGTGCTGGTCACGAACGGTTCAACTTAGGACTGCGTACCTGCATGTACCAGCATGGTTTCGATGTTTTCATGCATGCTCCGGAGACGCCTCCGCAGATGTTTCGGCTCTTGTAGCGTCGCAGACGAACCAGTCGCGAAGTTATAGCCGGCAGCAGAATGGCAGGGTGGACGGTGAATCCCCGCTCCTCTGCCTCCAAGCGCGACAAGCTCATGCTGACCGACGTGATGCCGGCGAACTTGCGCACGACCACGAGGGGCAGCGCGCCGCGCTTCGGGCGCGTGAACTGCCTGGATGCGCAGGCGTTTGCACAGCTCTGCGCGAGGCTGGACCCGATGCCAGGCAATCCTGGCGAGCTCAGCGAGGGCCTCCCGGTTTGCAGAGCACCCGCCATGAAGGAGCCGCCGCCCATGGAGTGCAAACGGGCATGGACCTCACGGACCTCACGGACCTGCTGGGACGATGACGAGGATTTGCCTCCCGCTGGTGCCTCGGACTGAAATTCATTGCATCGGCGTGCATCAATGACGTGTTAGACGGTTCTTGACAGCTGCGACCCCTTGCAGGAGTCCTGCCCGAAGTGTGCACTGAGAAGCCGAAGACCTGGCGAGTGAAGGCCAGCCGCCAGCGAGCACTTTGAGTGCGGGTGTGATTTGGTCGGGGTCCGGTTGGGAACCTGAGAATACGAAGAAAAGCCCCAATATGCCGTAGCTTGAATTGTGTGAACAGCAAAGCTGGATCACGTAGGCATCTTGTGTGTTGAGCAATGTTGAGCACTAAGCCCTGAACCCCAAAGCCGCAAGTGCCGCAAGTGTCCTAAGCCTGTGTCGGTGCGAAACTGCAGCGGGGCACCCAAAAAATGCATCCAGGAGCCAACTTTCGGTGGGGAATGGCGCGTTTTTCGCGATAAACGAAATTCATGCTTTCATGTACTATTCTTGTATTACCGCGTAAACGCCCAATAAGAATATAATAAGGGCGTTTACGCGGTAATACAAGAATAGTAAATGAAAGCATGAATGACGAAGAGAACGAAGTTAGTTCATTCATTTGCTCTTTCACTAAAATACGGGGCAAATGCACTTATTATTATATTACAGCCCCGTGAAGATAGAAACAAGAAAGGAATGAGTGAAAGAATACAGGATTTCCTAAGGAAAGAAAAGGGCAAAATATAATAAATTTGAAAATGAAAAATACTAAATTATATTTGCAAGAAATGTAAGCACGAAATTATAAGGACCAAATAAATAATAATATGTACGAAATATACGCACGTGTAAATGCAATAGAATCCGTGAGCCAGAAATCACATTAAAATGTGAATGGTCGCTTCCCCGTTAATTATATTACAAATGAAGGGAACAAAGTAATGAATTCATAGTGTTAAAGGGAGTGTTATTAGTATTACTAGTGGGGGCAAATGTGGCAGGTGGGGCAAAATCAGATGGCCGGGCAAGTGGCACATATCAGTTAGGCAGTCTGGGGAAGTGGCAGAAATGGGTTAGTGCCGGTTTCCACGTGTGCTTAAATATGCTTAAATCAAGAGTCGAGTGATCGTCGAGACCTTCTACGTAGCCTGCCCTCTTGCCAGGCCACTCGTATGGTCACGGCCGTGGCAAGTCTCGCGACGTCCATCAGCCGGGTGAGCGCGAAGTGGAGCGAGCCGCGATGCCCTGAGATTGGGAGCACGACGCCAAGGCCGACGGGCAGTGCAAGCAGAGGCCCAGCGGCCACGTTCAGGCAGTCTCTGAACTGATGCGGACAACTCCGTGCAGTCCTCAGCATTTTTGGGAAGGTGTGCTCTCCACTTTCGGAGCTGGCAAGCTGGCGGAAAGCTAGTTTCATGCAAAAGAGCAACTAAAAATCAGTATCTTTTGTGCGCTCATGGGCCTTGGCCCAGGCTGATTTCAGCCCGTCTGTGCAGAAAATTCTGTGCTCTGCGGCAGCCGCTTCTCTTCCCCTTGGGGCAACCTGCTGTGTCACTCCATAAGATGAGTTCTCCTAGGCAGCAGAGTAGACGGTCTAGAGTCTAGTCACAGAGCAAGCCGCTTTCTCTTCGTTCTTGTGTGCTCTCGCTGACGTTGTCGACGTTCTTGCCCCTTCTGTGGCTGCCTTCCGACTGGCTTCATTTCAACGAAATGTTGCTTCACACGAGGCAATGGTGATGTGCTCGGATACTAATTTTGAACATGACGCTGGCTTTGCTGCCTTTTCCTTACCAATCAGAACTACTGCAGAATCCTAAGACATTACCAAGACCCGAACCCCTGATTCTAAACTGGTCACTTCTCCAGATCATGGCCCCTTTTGGGTACACTAGCTAACAGGGGTCACCTTCTAATCAGGACCACAAAAAGGAGCCATCATGTGGAGAAGTGACCAACTTGTACGGCAGTCCATGGGTGGAGCTGGTGGGCATCGAGGCGTGGTACCGGCCGAATTGGCGCTCACAGGATCTCAAGATGTGTGCTAGCAACTTGTCGCCCAGCCAGCTATCCATCGAACGCAGCCCTGGAGTGGTTCGCTTCCGCTCTGTAAGAGCTTTGCGCCGTTTACTTTGAAACCCTCATGCTGGACGATTTGGGCAGCAGAACATGGTCTAGGGGCGGGGGGGGGGTCTAGGTCTAGTACTTGCTGCTCTTCTTTGACAGGGGTTCAGGGCGTAGGGATCTCCATTTGGAAGTCCAGTCTTCAGGCCAGTCTTCGGGGCTTTCATGGGATGTGCTTCCGTGTCCACTGCATGATACTGGGGTTGATCTAAAGTGATCTAAATCAGACGCCTTTTGGTACCTTGAGCTGAAGGAAGATGCTAGAGTGCAGTCCGAAAAGGTTCATTTTGGACCCTTACAGTATGCTTTGCCAGATCTGTCCTCATGAGATCCTCCAGACTTTTCCAGGGATTTGTCTACCCGTCTGGTCTATCTGGGACCTGTGAGATATATGGCAGGGCACTGAAGAGACTAAAGCAACTTCAGGTGGAGTCAAAGTGCAACTGAGACACATGAGGCACTAATCATGTGCACATTTTTTGTGTGCCGCGCCTTGCTCACAGGAGGTTCGCCTGTCACTTTCGAAGTTTGTTCCTCCACCGCTTTTCTTCCCTGTGGGGCCACTTGCTGGGCAACCTGCTGAAACCCTAAGCCCTAAACCCTAAACGAAGTATGGCGTCAGCTCCGCAAGAGAAGTTCTGGCAAGCAACAGGGGCTTAGACTGGTCCAGTCGGCGGAGTTGGCAAAATCCTGATGTGCTGTTCGGTGCGGTGGCCAGATGTCCTTTGATGTCCTTTTCAGGGAAGGTGGCGGCCGGATGAAAGCTCGTGCTGTTTCGACAGATCCATCGATTGGAGTCCTGTCTTGGTCACCTTCACCCGGCGGCGCGAAGAGAGGCAGCAAGTGCCGCTCTCTGCAAAGGGTTTGAGTTGTTCAGGTTGTGCAATAAAGAACCGGCTTTATAATTGATAGGTAAAACAAGGTTCTGCCTTTCAGAAGCACATGTTTGCAAGAAGCCATTTTCCATTTTGCCATGGGCTGCAAGAGTTTCTCAAAAGTGCTCCTGGCTTCCGCAAGGTGGCATTCCCATATCTGGGAATTCCAGAGGTGGGCTTCGAGCCCTCCCAGCCTAAACACCACCTCTCTCATGCGCACCCCCCTCGTGCAAGTCTCATTTTTTTCAAACAATCCTTTAGGCCGCATGAAGCAGCTTGTCAAGCATTCTTTCAGTGGAACAACAGCATCTCACCCCGAGGCCCTTCAGATGTGCCTCAAGCACTAAGAGCCCCTAAGTAGGCCAACAGCTTCGCAGAGCTGTTTTTTCGGGGATCTTGTGTGTGGGGGGGCCGCCCGAGATTTTTCCCCACCTAAAACCGGTGGAATCGTCAGCATAACATGCTGTCTCAACAGAGGTTAAAGCTTAGATACTGCATGCGCAGGAGTGGCACATTTAAATGCACCCCTCGCTTTGAAGCATTAGGTACACGCATTTATGCGTGCGCCGCCTTGCTCACAAGCGGTAACCTTCCGTGTTTCCTGTGGCAGCAGCTTTTTTCTCAATTTGGGGCAACCTGCTGCGTGCTTCAAACGAAGTACGACGTCAGTTCGCAAGACGACTTCTGCGAAGCAACAGAGGCTTTGATGATGATCTAGAGGGTCTAGTCTAGTCGAGTCTAGTCGCAGCAAGCCGCTTCGTCTTTCTGTCTTGCCGCCGTCCGGTTACGGCAACATCTTTTCTCAAGGGACGGAGCCTGTCAAGGTGGGAATCCAACCCAAGCTGCGCAGTGGCAGGGTGGACCCCCGACGATGCGTTAAAGTCGAAGCCGAGACGAGAAACGCGAGAGCAAAAAGGTGTGCTCGAGTCGTGTCATTTGTGCAACTTTGTGCCGCCGAAGCTTCACACTACCGCAATAGAGACCCAATCTTGCGAAGCACTGCACCTTCGGCATCCACCGATGTTTCGGCTCTGGCAGAAATGCCGACAAGCATCGGCGAGTAGGAGAAAGCAATCAACGACGGTGAGCTGGTGCTGACTGCCGTGATGCCCTCGAACGAGCACGCGACCGCCACCGGAAGCAGCGCACCGCGCTTCGGGCGCGTGAACTGCCTGGATGCGGAGGCGTTTGCGCAGCTCTGCGCGAGGCTGGACCCGATGCCAGGCAATCCTGGCGAGCTCAGCGAGGGCCTCCCGGTCTGCCATATACCCGCCAGGAAGGGCTCATCCATTGGGCGCTATCGGGTGCGAACCTGCTGGAACGATGACGACGAGGATTTCGTTCGTGCTGGCGCCTCGGATGCAGAAAAAAGATTTGGTATCAGAGAAGGTGACAGGTGTTTGACTGCTGTGACACTGCACGTATCTTGACGGGGAACGGTCGTGAGGAGTCCTCCCCGAAGTGCGGGTTGAGAAGAAGAAGACCTGGCGAGGGAAGGCCAGCACACAGCACTCTGAGTGGTTGAGACTCGCTTGTGCTGTCTTGAAGAGGGGCTGAGGGGCTGTACTGGTCCCACAGGAGGGGTGATACTACCCCAACCTTGAACAGCCTAAGCCGCAAACCCCTAAACCCGAATTCAGAGAACTGCCGTTTGGTAGCTTCTGTGCTTGCGAGGTCACGCACATGGTCACGGCTATGGCCAGCCTTGCGACGTCCATCAGCCGAGTGAGCACGAAGAGGAGGGAGTGTGGGATTTAGGGTGTAGGGTTAGAGATTTAGGGTAAAAGCAGGGTATAAATCTTGGATTGCAGGTTCATTTTATGATTTATCAAGAGCAGCAGGCAATTGCCTGGGGCTTGTGAGCGATTGGCAGCATGCGTCTATGTAATCAACATCCATGAGGCTCCATCTCACTCACATGGGATTAACGTGTGCTGCCGTTTGCTCACAAGTATTGTCTCGACTTTAAGGCTTTACGATGTCTGGGAGTTGCCGAATGCTTCAAGCGAAGCAAACACTCTCAGAGTGGGCTTTTGTGTAGATATCGATGTCGTCTCATCCACCTAAGGGGGCATTGTTAAGTGCACCCTTTCGCGTTTCTTGTGCGAAACCTCCCTAACTTGAGAAGGGGGTTTCGTCTGAGACTCTGCACTTTTCCATGGATTTCGGGGGGGGGGGGGTAGAGAGGGGGGGGGTAGAGAGGGGGAAACGCATGGGAACCCCAATTTCGGAACCATCCTGGGTAGTGTGTGTTCTCGAGGTCTCTACCTAGTGTCTATCTGAGCCTTTTTCGAGTATCCGCGGTGGAGGCTTGGAAGAGGAACTTTCGGAGAAACGCACAAGGCCCTGAAGCCCTCAAACCCCAAACCCTAAACCCTGATGCTCCTGCTGCTGGGCGGGGTCGATGGGCGCGCAAGGAGCGCAAGGGGACTGGGCTGGGCGATGGGTTTAGAGTTTAGGGTTTAGGGGGGGTGGAACAGGGCTGGACTTGCAAAGAGGGGTTCAGAGGTCTCCCTGCGTGCGAGCGTACCAACTCAGAACCCCCGAGGCCCTGAAGGCCTGGTATTAAGGGCCATGAGGGGTACGGATCGCTCTCCAGGTAGGGTCTCCTGCTTCTTACAATGGGATCCCCAAAAAGGGAGGCCACCATTCAAAAAGTCTGGGTATGCAACTGGCTCCCGGGCGTCTTTCCGCGACGTACGGTTTGTAGCAAAGCCGTTCTGCTTGCGACAATCAGCGTCCGCTGCAAACCTGCGACAAGCCTTTGCGACAAGCCCCTTCTTGGAACAGCAACCTTCGACTACATAGGCATTTAGACAGCGCGCGAAACAGCCACGACAAACCCCACGACAGACGTATGAAACAAGAGGGCGCGACATACGTGTGTAACACAGGCGGGGCTGGGACACCGGGACATGCCCCTACTATTTAGACCCAGCTCTGTGCATGTTTGGACAGCAGCATCGCGCCAAATCGTTTGCCAAGCTCGCGGTACTGTTTTGGAGCCCTACAGCAAATACAAAAAGGCCTGAGTTTTTTGCTCATGCTTCCTGTGGCTTTGTGTGGGTGCGCCGCCGAAACCCTGCACAAACTCTGTCATTGCCCGCTGAGTCCTAAGCCTTCGGTTTCCCGCCCACCTCCCCCCCTTGGGTGCAAATTGTGCTGATGCTGATACTTTCAAAGTTTCCTGTGGCAGCCGTCCTTGTGGCAACCTGATGTGTGCTTCATATGAAAGTACGACGTCACTCCGCAAGGCAAGCTGCACGTATCAGCACATGCCGAAGCTGTGCCCTGCAAGAGCCGCTTCTGTTCAGCTTCAAACGAAGCACGACGTCACTCCGTGAGATCAGTTCTCGGGGGCAACGAAGTAAAGGTCTAGAGTCTAGTCGCAACGAGCCGCTTTCTCTTCTGTGTTGAATAACTGCCTTCGAATCAACACGTCGAGTCTGCCTCGTATCAAATGTTGCGAAGCAACACAGTACATCCTGCTGTACAGCAAAACTTTTCCACTTTCGGTACAAGCTGCCGTACGGTACAATCTTCTCCGCCCTCGACTCTACAAAGAAGCAGCTCTGCTGGGACAGTTGAAGTTGAAGCCAAGCGAGTAAAAGGTGCGCGAGCAGGGCTTGTTGCGCAGCTCGCGCCTCGCGCCTCGGAACGCCCGAGCTTCTGCCTTCAGTCTGCGCCTGTGCCCAAGTTGCCTGCAAGGTGCCACAGAAATTTCCGGGACCTGAGCGCAAAGTGTCGCCGCGGGGATGTGGGTGCTGACCTTTTTGACAGACCTTTTGAGTTTTTGGCACATGCTTTGCAGCTTCTTGGATTCAAAGGGCTTATAATTTTAACGCTACACGACCTTCCTCGGCCTGGCCCAGCGCACCCCCTGAGCATGTGGAGTCCGCAACGACGGCACCCACCGGTCATAGGGTGGGGGGGGTGGGTGGGGGCACGGTGGGGGCCTGTGGCCGAGCCCAAACTGCCCTCTAGTCCTGACGCACGGTCGCCTTCCGCACACGTGTTGGCTAGGGAGGGTACCAAAAGAAGAGGCCAACGAGGGGCGCGCAAGTGGTCAGGGCTGTTGGGGAGGCCTACGGCCTAAGGCCTCGGCGGATTGGGAGAAGGCCTCATGTGGACATTCATGCTGCCCCCCAGAATCTCTAAGGCATCTGAGCTTCAGAGAAGCTGAGATGCGTCTCCGTGAGCGCAAGCAAGAGCCTAGAGCAGAGGTCCCCTTTGCAGGCCATGGCCATCGCTAGCAAAAGCTGAGTTGAGCTGCCAGGCCTTAACCCTGAAGTCTAAACCCCCAGACCTCTTACCCTAGATGGTCGAAACGCTGCTGATTGCCTCAGTCTAGCACCCCGCAGCAGCTCGGGTTTTGGTATGGTTTCGGTGTCCGAAAGGGCTCCTTAGGGGATACTGGTGAGTGTAATGCATGGGGGGGTGCCCTAACACACATTTCGGGTTCCAAATGAAATGCGCCCGTTTGGGCTTCCAGAACTACAAGAAGGGAGACCGCAAGTCAGAGAGCTGCCCACGAGCCGACTCCCTGGCCTGGTTCCAACTGGCTGTTTGGGCTCCATGGTAGCTAGGGATCGGTGCAGAGGCAGAAGTGTCGACTTGTCGAGCCGGCGGGACTTGATGCTGCTTCAGTGGCTTGTTAAGGCTGCTAGATGGGAGTGACCCTAAACCCTAAACCCTAAACCCTAAACCCTAAACCCTAAACCCTAAACCCTAAACCCTAAACCCTAAACCCTAAACCCCAAACCCTAAACCCTAAACCCTAACCCTATAAACCCTAAGCTGGATAGGATTTAGGGTATGATCAGTGTGATCCTCGAAGTCTGTGTGCCAGGTACCCCCCCCTTTCGTGTGGTCAGTCCACACATCTTCACCATCTTCGTTACAGCATTTGCCAACCGAAATTCTTTCGCAGAGATCGTCCAGGACTGGGGCAGCTCTTCTAACCCGGGCTCGTGCGGCAACACGCGCCGCACTTCAACAAGCTCGTTTCACTCAGTGCTCTGCGTTTGCGGCTGTACCGTAGAGCATGACAAGGCCAACATAGCCTGCACCCCAAATAGACCTATCTAGCAGAAATGCCCCCTCGCCCGCAAGTGGCGCATCTTTAAGATGGATCCCAAGTGGGCCATTTCTGCTGTCAGGACGTGATGGAGTCAGTCCAGAAGGATTCTGCTTCTTGTGCTGCCCCGCGTGAATGCGATCATTTCCGGGTCTCGAGCCCCGTCAGGAGCAAAGGCCATGCAACGGACGCTGGGTGCCCTCGGCCAGAAGCTGCTGGATGGCCAGTTCTCTAAATTCTGGTCCCCTTTTGGGTGCTTTAGACAACAAGGCGCCGCCTCAAATAATCAGGACCCCACAAGGGACCATAGCTTAGAGAAGTGACCAGATCGACCCTCTTCCCTGCTTTGTTTTTGCAGGGTACCTCTCAATTAAACCTTACACCCTAGAGTGGTCAGCGCTTAAGTCAAGGGCTTAAGGCACAGTGTCGCCAGAGGGAGGCAGGTGCACGAGGAGCCGAAAGAACTGCCAAGGTCCATCACACTATTCCCTGAATAGAAATAATAAAAATTATAATTATAAATAATAGTAGCAATAATGATAATGATAATCAAAGAATAGTAAGAACGACTAGTGTTATTATTATTATTATTATTATTGTATTATAAGTGCTTTTATTATTGGTAGTATTTTTTATTTTAGAAGCCATTCTCATCATGAACCAGCCTGGCCCCAAAATCCAGATCCCCCGATGCCGAAAGGTGCTGCGCAACACGTTCATCGAACTTGTTGAGGATGGCTCCCCTGCTAATGCAGGCTCGGATCTTAAGCAACCCACGCTGTGCCTCAGGCTGAAAGTTGCGTGCTGGACTAAGCCCTAAACCCTAAAAGCCCGAAACCCTACACCCGAAACCCGCCCAGATGGCTTCTCAAGCAACTGCTTGATGCGCGCGAGCTCCGACTCCGTGCTTTACGAAGGCCTGGCCGTGAAGCGTGGCTGAGGGTTGAGGGTGTGGGGTGTTTAGGGTGTTTAGGGTTCAGGGTGTCCAGGGTTGAGGGTTTAGGGTGTTTGGGGTTCAGCGTGTTTAGGGTTGGGGGTTTAGGGTGTTTAGGGTGTAGGTCTTTGGTGTTGATTTGCACACAGTTTTCCTGCGGTATGGCCCCCTGTACGCATAAACGAATCCCTATGACCCACAGAAGTCTGCTTGATACAGCCCCACCGCTTGTTTACGATTTAGGGGTATTTGGTTTTAAGGGTTTAGGGTTAAACCCTCAGCCCCAAACAGTTTTAGGGGGTTTGCGGGTTGAGGGTTTAGGGTGAGCCGGAGTCCCCTTATGCCCTGAACCCAAAGGTTTTGTAGACCCTAAGCCCTGCGCAGTAAACCGGGGCTCGCAGTTACCTTTTCGGGGGCTCCACTAGAAGGCCTAGCATTTTGGCGAAGAATTGGGGTACCACCCCCCCGCCCCCCCGCACCCCGCCATTTTGGGAAATGCCCCACATGTGCGGGCCTCACTTTTCTAACTTTGTGCTGCCTTTAGTTTGGATTGAGGGTTAGGGCTCATCGGGTCTAGGGTTTTCGGTAGCCATGTTGCAATAGGAGCCCTAAACCCTAAGCCCTAAACACCTCCCATATGAGACCAGCCAGGTTATTCGCCCAACCAGGACTGGGTTGGCCGCCGTCGATGGTGAAGGGCTTCCTTAGGGTTTGGGGTTTAGGGTTGCCGCAAATCGCATTGGCTTCGATCCTCACAGGCCAGAGAATCCCGGAGCCCTGAAGCAAAAAAGGGTTTAGGGTTGCAACGGTTTGTCAATATGGCTGAGAGTCGAGGGTACATGGCCCAACTT